TATATGTATATGTATATGTATATGTATATGTATATGTATATGTATATGTATATGTATATGTATATGTATATATGAAGAATAAAAATGAAGTAAATGTTATTTATTTTCACACTGCTTAATTTAAAAAACAGGCAATGAATGCAGAAAACTTCAGCATCAAACCAATGATCTTCTTTATAACCTGTTATTGTAGCGTAAAGAGTAAAGTTTAGTGACTTTGGTGATACAAAAACAACAAAATTAATTAGCAATTATTATTACAAATGTTTATACATTTCAAAGAAAATACAAGTAGTCCTCAACTTACGGCCAGTCACTTAGCAACTATTTGAAGTTATGACGGACCCTCCAAAAACTGCTTATGCCCGGTTTTGAAATTAACACCACTTCCCCCTCTGCCCCCCCCCCCAGATATATTACTGAATCTGGGGCATTTGGCAACCAGCCCACATCTATGGCTGTTTTGCAGCATCCTGTGTGACTGCAATTTATGATGTTTTTGCCCCCAAATCAGTCATAAGTTGAAGACTATGTCAGACCTGGAAGCCATCTTTTACACTGGGCCTTTAGACCTGCCACAATTTTTTTCCTGTGGGAAGGGGGGTTATATGGAGTATGGAGATATATATAGTCATAATAACATTCCTTTCTCAGAGACTCAAGGACATTTTGCCCTGCACCTGGGTGGGGTGTGACTGGGAGGCATCTCCAGTTGGGATGGTGCCTGATTGGGCCATATGATGGACATGTGGGTGCTGGGCAGGGACTTGGGAGTTTCGTTTGGGTGGGGAAAACCTGGAAGCTTTCAGATTCGGGTTTTCCTAGATGTGCCAACATGACATCTCTAATAAAACGGAACTCCAGCCTTGGAGTCTTCTTTCGTTGGGGGTGTTACTTGGAACCCTGACAAACTACTTGTATCCTGCTGTGACAAAATGCCCATTTTAGCGACATTCCTGCCCAGCGCCCTGAGAAAGCTGTACTTACCTTAAATTTCCTCATTGACTGATAAAGTCGCCCAAGGTTGCCGTAGTGTTTTGCTGTCTGAACGTTGAACTCCCCAAATGCTTTCTTGGCCAGCTGGAGAGAGGAGAGGTGTAGGTCGTGAGCTTCTTGGAGCAGCCTTTGCTCAGTTTCTTTATTGTGGCAGTCGATTGCAATCTCCTCCAAGATAAGCGCTTTAAAAGGGGGGGGGAGATAAAAAAGTGGGTTAGCAATAGCCCTTAGACTTATATACCGCTTTAGAGTGCTTTACAGCCCTTTCTAAGTAGTTTACAATGTCAGCCTCTTGCCCCCAACAAACTGGGTTCTCATTTTACCGAACTCGGAAGGATGGAAGGCTGAGTCGACCTTGAGCTGCTCAGAATCAAACTGCTGGCAGTGGGCAGAATTTGCCTGCAACAGCACTTAAGACTGCTTCCCAGTGCTTTACAGCCCTCTCTAAGCGGTATGCAAAGTCAGCACATTTCCCTCCAACAAACTGGGTTCTCATAAGGACGGAAGGCTGAGTCCACCTTGAGCTGGTCAGAAGTGAACTACTGGTGGGCGGCAGAATTAGCCTGCGATACTGCATTCTAACCACTGTGCCGCCACAGGTTAATAAAAGGTATTAAAAGGTATCTGGAGAGTGAAGAAGACCATGGTCTAAAAGTCATCTTCCGGGATCAAGACGAAGAGCTTCATTCAGCCCTTTTATCCTGCCTCAGTTATCAGTCAACATGACAAGGAACCTCAGGCTGAACTGATGTTCAGGTAGGCCTATCTCTGCTGTGACTTTTCCAACCTTCTGCCTAGCCGCATCAATTAAGTTTCACACCAATTATAAGAAATGCCGCTACAGGTAGCCATCGATCTGCGACCACAACCAGGACCAGAATTTCCGTTGGTAAGCAAGGCAGTTTTTAAGTCAACCACACCCGATTTTAAACCTTTCTTGCCATGGTTGTTGCATTGTTAAGTGAACCATGAAGTTGTTAAATGAATCTGTCTCTTCCTTCATTGACTTTGCTTGCTGGAAGTGGGCTGGGGTGGTCACAAATAGGGATGACATGACCCCGGGACACTGCAACCTTTGCAAATACATGCTGGTTGCCAAGTGTCCGAATTTTTATCATGTGACCATGGGGGATGCTGTGAAAGATGCAAGTCAATCAGCTACCTTTCATGCCTAAGATGGGAGTAGAACTCCCAATCTCCTGGTGATTGGCCCAAAGTCAGCTAACTGACTTCCATGTCTAAAGCAGGACTAGAACTCACCGTCTCCCGGTGATCACCTTGGTTTTCATGTCTAAGGTGAGATTAGAATTCAAAGCCCCTTGGTTTCAAGCCTGGTGCCTTAACCACTACTAGACCAAACTAGCTCTCATTGTCAAGGAACTCGCAAAGGCTTATCTCACTTATCATTGTTTCCTCAGAGCGTTTAATTCTCTAAAGCCACCAGTAGCCATTTCTGTTTCCCCCCCCATGGCAGCTAAACCCAGCTGGCAGATAATACCTTTAACTCTTTTGGAGGAGGCGAGGAGGAGATGATCTTCTGGGAGAATGTGGGTGATGATGCCAATCGCACGTTCTGCATGGAATCTAAAAGATCAAAGACAAGAGGGAAAACTTGAGCTCTTGGTCCTTATCCTGGAACTTGGCTAGTCCATCTATGTGACTTGGGAAGAAGCCACATGTCAAGGTTCCGATGGATGCCCTAATTAAAGTATCGAGCCAATCTTCAAAAGAAGTCCAGTTATTTATTAGGAGCAACTTGTTGGCACATACCCAGTTGAAGCCACGTAATTTACGACCCAATTATGACCCTGTTTCCCCCCTCCTCCCAGGGTGTGTCATAAATCACATTCTCCGATGGAGCACTTTCACATTATAGTGATCATGCCCCTCTGGCTGCTGCGGTTAACCTGGGAGACAGTCTTGAGAAAGATATGTGTGGAATGTGCTTCTGTTTGTGGATGCTGCGCTGCGTTGTCAGTTCCCCATCCCACTTGCCTAAGGCAACTCGAGAACAGGCCAGGGATGCTTTGGAGTTGACACAACTTTCCTACTTGAAACAAGGAATATGTCCTGACGATAGAAAACAACAGTGTGTCAGGTCTGCAAGCCATCTTTTCTTTTGGACTTCAGGACTGCCACACTTTATACTATTCATTTTCTATTGTGGGAAAATGGATGGGGGGATTATACGGAGTTGGGTGATATGTAGCCATAACAACATTCTTTCTAGAAAGCCAAGGTCATCCTTCGTCTCTGCACTTGGCCGGAACCGGATGGGTGGAAACTGCCAACATGACAGTGGAAGATTGGACCATGTGATGGATTTGTGGGTGTGGGGGCAGGATCTTGAACTTTCAACTGGGTGGGAAAACCTGGAAGCTTTCAGATTCAGGTTTTCCCAGATATGCCAACACGGCTCTCCTCATAAATTGGAACTTTGAGGACCCTTTTGTCTTGGACTGATTCACTTTTGGATGCTATTTTGAACCCTAACACAGTGTGTCTTCTCCTCTCCTATTCCTTTCACTCACTAAGCCAGTGTTTCTCAACCTTGGCCACTTTAAGATGGGTGGACTTCAACTCCCAGAATTCCTAAAGCTGGCTGGGGAATTCTGGGAGTTGAAGTCCATCCAACTTAAAGTAGCCAGAGTTGAAAACACTGCACTATGCCACTTATGGAATCATCTGTAATGGCGCCCAGAAGCAAACTAGCAACCAATTCAGCACATGAAGCAGAAGTCTTATATGGACATCCTGAGGCATGCCCATCATTGCTGGCACAGCTGCATTCTGGACCAGCTGAAGCTTCCAGTTGGTCTTTAAGGGCTGCCCCATGTAGAGACATTGCAGTAGTCAAGCTGCAATGTGACTGAGGCACGAGTAACTATCTGAAGGGCACAACTGGTACACCAGACAGAGTTGTGTAAATTTCTCCCTAACTACTATTGACATTTATTTATTAAATTTCTATGCCACCCATCTCACTGATAAAGCGACTCTGGGCAATTTACAGTATAATAAAACATTTTTAAAAAGTAAAAAAAAGCACTCCAAAGCAATTGAAAGTAGAAGAATTAAATATAAATGCTAAAAGCCAAGTTGAAAGTTGGGGGTCACAGCAAAAAAGGCTCTTCTCCTGGACCCAGCCAGCCGAAATTCTAAAACAAATGGCTACCAAGTATATTTATAGCTTATTTAGGAAGGAAAAAAAATGTAGGAAAAAGAGAAATTATCTGTCATGCTGGCAAAAGTGTGAAATGAGTTCTGAAATTTACCATCTCAGCAAAACATACTTTTTTTTGTAAAAAGTTTTTTATTTTTTCTTTCAAATTCATTCTTAGATATACATTCTTATAATTGTTATTTAACATGTCAATTCATATCATTTTCCCACCAGTATATTTACATTTTGATATTTTCTTATTTCCCCTCCCCCTATATTAATCATGTGTCGTCTGAGATAATCATTTCATGTTTTGTTCCTTTTTCTTTCTATTTGTATCTTTTTTCAAGCCACTCATAAAATCGCCCCCATGTCCTGTAATACTCTGATTCCCCCTTGTCCTTTATTCTCAATGTCAACCTATTCATTTCTGCAGTCTAATATCTTCTTTATTACTCCCCTTCTGATGGGATTTTGTCTGCTTTCCAATTTTGTGCAAATATAATTCTAGCTGCTGTTATTATTTGTACAATCAAATATGAATCTTCTTTGCTGTATTTTCTCTGGTAGAATACCCGATAAAAATATCTCTGGCTTAAACTCCATGGGTTTATGTATCATTTTCTCTAACCGTGTTTGCACTTTAACCCAATAGCTTTCTGCATCCCTACACATCCACCCCATATGATAATACGTTCCTGGCAATTGGGGACATTTCCAACATTTAGCTGATGGCAACAACTATGGGAAAGGAATTATAATCTGACAGCATATAAAGAGAATTGATATAAAATGTTTTATAGATGGCACACGACACCTGAAAGATTAGCGACAATGTTTAAGGATAAATCAGCTAAAACATACTTTTCTAACATCAGAATGGATTTGAAATAAAGAATAAAATCATTTGGGTCCTAAATGAATACAGTACTCACAGTGCATTATCAAATTTTCCCGAACTGTATTGGTGAACGTAAGAAGAGTATGCTAGATCTTCATGAGCTGTAGCTACATGGATATTTTTGCCACCAAACACCGACTGTCTGATGTCCAAGGCTGTCTGAAATGATTTGTACAAAAAAAAAGAATCTAAGCCAGTAACTCAATTTGCAGTCAAAAACTATTTTTTTTTACATATCTAAAATCCGATCAGTTGCAAACAGGATATTCTGCCCGTTATCCTCGGGTTGGTTACATTCTTCTACAGCATGTTTTAACATCGTAGGGACTTGCACCAAAGGTGCTTTTTCAAGAGGCACCTGGACTTTTTTTTGGCTTTTCTTTGAAGACGTTTCGCTTCTCACCCAAGAAGCTTCTTCAGCTTCAACAGAACTGAGGATGCTTCCTGGATGACAGGCGAAATGTCTTCGAAGAAAAAAAAAAAAACAAAGAAAGTCCAGTTGCCCCCTGAAAAAGCTCCTTTGGGACAACTATGACCTGGATGACTGAGAATCTCCATAGCCATAGTAATAATAAAATAAGCAGGTAAGATTGGGTGGAGGAAAGGAAACTTGTTTCAAGTTTGGGATAAGATAGCCTTACTTGGAACATTCCAATGGAACTGGCTAGGGCCAGGTATCACATCAGAGGTGATAGTGGAGAGGTGACACTATAATCCCCTTACTCTTTTCTTTTCCATCCTATGGTCCCAAAGGTAGGTAGACTAGTACTACCAACTGCATGATTTATTTTAAAATGCAGGGGGTCTTGGTGCTCTCTGAGCTTGGTGGTTTTCTTGCAGATGTTTCATCACCCGCTTAGGTAATAACATCAGTCATCGGTTTATATATACGGTGCTTGCCCTGTCAACGTTGGTGAGTGTTTTGGGTGACTCTTGACTGGGTTCTTGTTTAGTGCCCCTTGTTCACCTGCACTAGTAGTTCCTTGATTGATGTATTGTTTAGTTCTTGATGGCTGATCTAGTGCTAACTTTGGTACTACAGCAATCTCTAGCCTATCTGGGTGTTGCTTACTGGCAAGTGATGTTTTGGTCTTTTTTTGTGTGTGTGTGTTTCCTTTTTGGCTTTTTCATCGTCTCTTTTGAATGGTATGTAGCTGTTGTTTGTGATTTGTTGGAGTGGCCATCCACAGGCACCTAGACATAAACGGTATCTACATGCCACTAGAAAGAGACAATGAAAGAGCCAAAAAGGAAACCAAAAAACCCAAACCACCTCCTTTATACAAATATATAAAAAATCAGAGCAAATCCCACTCTTCTAGCACTTCTAAGGCTAAGACAGCCCTAGAGGGTTGCGTCAGGGGTTGCCACACGAAGAAGAGGGAGTCAAGTTATTCTCCAAGGCACCTGAGGGCAGAACAAGACGCAATGGGTGGAAACTAATCAAGGAGAGAAGCAACTGAGAACTGAGGAGAAATTCTCCTGACGGTCAGAACGGTTAATCCGTGGAACAGAATTTGCCTCCAGAAGTTGTGGGTTCTTTTATCACTGGAGGTTTTTAAGAAGAGACTGGACAACCATTGGTCTGAAATGGTTGAGGGTCTCCTGCTTGAGCAGGGGGTTGGACTAGAAGACCTCCAAGGTTCTGCTCTGTTCTATTCTCTAAGATGAACAAGCTGCGTTTAAAGGGAAATTAACTGAGGGCGGATCTGTTGGCTATACTGCAGAGTAGAGGACTGCATAAAACACAAGCCCTTTAGTGCTCGACTTACAACCATCCATTTAGTGACCGTTCAAGGTTACAACAACGCTGAAAAAAGTAATTTATTTTGCACTGATGATCATGGTAACATCCCCATGGTCAGGTAATCAAAATTCGGATGCTTAGCAACTGGCATGTATTTGAGTCCTTCGGGATTGGGCGGCATATAAATATATTTAATAAATAAATAATAAATAAATAACAGTTGCACTGTCTTCGCCTCATGTGATCACCATTTGCAACCATCCCAGCTGGCTTCCAACAAACAAAGTAACAGCGGAAGCCAAATTTGCTTAATGACTGCATGATTCACTTAACTAACTAGTCTTCCGTTTAACAACTGTCCCAAGAAAGATAATAAAATGGGGCAAAAACTCACTTAACAACTGCCCTGCTTAGCAACAGAAATGTTGGTCTCTATTGTGGTTGTATGTCGAGGATTACATGTATATAGTTTTTACTCTATTTTATTTTCCCCCCTTTAATCTTTTCTCTCTTGCATTGTATTGCCAGCTTCTGTTCTACTTGAAGTGAAGTTCAAAATAATTAGGCATGAAGAGACTAAATGATTTTCTGTTTTGACTTATTTACTATGGCATGCCTATTCTCTGACCTTATGGAGAAGAACCCATTAAATACGACAACAGTATCATACACTTACTGGCTTGCAATAAATTACGAAACCAAAACCGTACCTGATAAATTGCAACTGACTGGCATATGTTATCTACATTTAGTAAATAAAATCCATAGTCAAGTAGAGTGTCTGAATATTTAGGATGTTTGGCTCCAAAATGCTCCCTGGAAGATTAAAAAAAACCAAACAAAAACACTCCAGGTTAAGAACATCACAAAATCTTCTCAAAGAACGTTGCAAAACCTTCCCAAAAGAATTGAGCCTGTTGTAGCATTTCAAGGAATCTCTTACGTACCGTGCTAGGTACACTGCGTGTTTTATCAACTGCTCAGCTTTCTTAAATTCACGTTTTACAACGCAAGCCTAAAACAGGAGAAATTAAGAAATTAAGGCTCCGTGGACGTTCAAAAAAGGCTCCTCGTCTTCTTGCTGTCATCCCCCCCACAACTTGGACAAGGTCCCAGAACACAACCTGCGCTCTCAACTACAGAATGTGCAGGAAGAGGGCCAATGTTTAGGTACAGGTAGTCCCTGGGTTAGAACGGTTCATTTAGTGACTGCTCAAAAGGGACAGCGGCACTGAAAAAAAATGACTTAAGACCCCCCTGCCCACTTAGGAACATCCTTCCCCCATGGTCACGTGATCAAAATTCAGAGGCTTTGGCAACTGACTCACATTTATGACAGTTGCAGTGCCCCGGGGTGGTGGTGGTCATGTGATCTCCTTTTGCAACCTTCTGACAAGCCAAGTCAGTGGGGAAGCCAGATACATCTAACAATTACTGGATTTTTCCGTTTATAAGATGCATTGCCCCCCCACCCCAAAGTGGGTGGAAATGTCT